TGCTCTCTTTCTTCTCCTTCCCCGTGCCCTCTCCCTCCTGACCACTCTTGCCCTTTCATGGTCCGCAGCAGAAGGAACGCCAAGCCGCCGCCCTGGAGCTTCTCCGCCGTCGGCGCCCTTCTCCAGCGCCCCAAGTCCCGCATGAATGTCCGTCGACAGCGTAGCCTTCGACCCTGCCTCTCCTCCCCGAGCACCTCGTCCCCAACGCCGACAAGTTCACCACTGCCAAGACCTTGCCTCGCTGGATCCGCCTCCCACTGCCGGGAATCGGTTCCCCTCGATCTCGCCCCGCCTCCGGTGGTCGTCTCGCATTCTACCGTCGCCGGAAACACCAGCGCCACCACCACCCGTCTTCCTGGAACGCACGCAGCCCCAAGTCCGACGCTCGCTCGTGCCCGTTGACTCCGTCGTCCCGCGCCCTGGGCCACTTCTTGCGCCAAGCCCAGATCTGCCCGGCCTCCTCTCCACCGACCGGCCGAAGGCCCAGGGTGAGCACCCCCCCTGGCCTTTCCTCTATTGGGCTAGTCAGATTCGGCCCGTGCATGTTTTTTCCCTGTCTACGATTTTAGCATTATCCACAGGAAACCCGTTTTGCAGAAAACCCCCTAGAGTTCATGCATTTAATAACTCACAAATGGTGCATCATATGTAAATAATTTATATATGTAAAATTCTTAGAATTTTGTGTAGATTAATAACATGTCACTTTCATCCATGTTTAAAATGTTTAAATTTCTGTTTGCATTTGTTTTGCACAATAGCATGTTAAAATGATTTATTTCATAACTAAATAACCGTAGCTCCGAATTTAACAAACTTTATATGTAAATGGGGTGGAAAAATGCATCCATTAACTTGGTGCACTTTTTTTTACTGTTTAACAACTCTAAAAGTATGTTTTAGGGCAGAATAGTACCAAATCCGAAATATGCATCTGGGGATTTTTTCGGAATTGTTGTTTGTTGTTCCGGCCTCATTTAAACTTGCCTAAATAGTTAGTTTACTTATGCTTCACTTCTTGCCATGTTTAACAACATTTAATATTGTTGAGTACCTAAACGAGAGCGAACTAAATAACTCGAATGTGGTGTTTCGTCAATATGCAACTCGTTGCATATTGAGTTGCACTTAACTTGTAGTATTGTTTGTTGCACTTTGCCATGCCATGCCTCTTTAAACCGTACATGCATCATGCTTGTTTGTGCATCATGTCATGTTTATGCTTGTGTGATTACTATGTTGTTTGCTTCTTTCTGGTTGTATTTTTTCTTGATAGTTCCTGTTTCGTTGCGATCGTGAGGATTTGTTCGACTACGCTTGGTTCGTCTTCGCCCGTTCATCTTCTTCATGGACTCGTTCTTCTTCCTTGCGGGATTTCAGGCAAGATGACCATCACCTTGGATCTCACTACTATCATTTCTATGCTAGTTGCTTCGTTCTATCGCTATGCTGCGCTACCTATCACTTGCTTATCAAGCCTCCCAAATTGCCATGTCAGCCTCAAACTTTTTCACCCTTCCTAGCAAACCGTTGTTTGGCTATGTTACCGCTTTTGCTCAGCCCCTCTTATAGCGTTGTTAGTTGCAGTTGAAGTTGAAGATTGCCCCATGATGAACAGGCTTGTGTTGGGATATCACAATATCTCTTATTTTATTAATGCATCTATATACTTGGTAAAGGATGGAAGACTCGTCCTTGTGCCTGGTGTTTTGTTCCACTCTTGCCGCCCTAGTTTCCGTCATACGTGTTATGTTCCCGGATTTTGCGTTCCTTACGCGGTTGGGTGATTTATGGGACCCCCTTGACAGTTCGCTTTGAATAAAACTCCTCCAGCAAGGCCCAACCTTGGTTTTACCATTTGCCTCACCTAACCCTTTTTCCCTTGGGTTTCCGGAGCCCGAGGGTCATCTTTATTTTACCCCCCGGGCTAGTTCTCCTCCGAGTGCTGGTCCAAACCGAGCGATGTTCGACGCCCCCTGGGCAACCAGGGTCTATGCCAACCCGTCGTCTGGCTCATCCGGTGTGCCCTGAGAACGAGATATGTGCAGCTCCTATCGGAATTTGTCGGCACATCCGGGCGGCTTTGTTGGTCTTGTTTTACCATTGTCGAAATGTCTTATAAACCGGGATTCCGAGTCTGATCGGGTCTTCCTGGGAGAAGGTATATCCTTCGTTGATCGCGAGAGCTTGTGATGGGCTAAGTTGGGACACCCCTGCAGGGTATAAACTTTCGAAAGCCGTGCCCGCGATTATGTGGCAGATGGGAATTTGTTAATATCCGGTTGTAGATAACTTGACACCAGATCCGAATTAAAACGCATCAACCGCGTGTGTAGTTGTGATGGTCTCTTTTCGGCGGAGTCCGGGAAGTGAACACGGTTTTGGGTTATGTTTGACGTAAGTAGGAGTTCAGGATCACTTCATGATCATTGCTAGCTTCACGACCATTTCGTTTGCTCTCTTCTCGCTCTTAATTGCGTATGTTAGCCACCATATATGCTTAGTCGCTGCTGCAGCCTCACCACTTTACCTCTTCCTTTCCCATTAAGCTTTGCTAGTCTTGATACCCATGGTAATGGGATTGCTGAGTCCTCGTGGCTCACAGATTACTACAACAACATTTGCAGGTACAGGTTATGCGATGATCATGACACGAGAGCGATGTTACTTCTCTTGGAGTTCTTCTTCTGTTGCTTCTTTGATCAGGGGATAGGTTCCAGGTCGGCAGCCTGGGCTAGCAGGGTGGATGTCATTTGAGTTTCTGTTTGTGTTTCATCCGTAGTTCGGATGTTGATCTTATGTATGATGTATTGATGTTGTATTCGTTTGCCATTGTATGCCTTTTGTATGTATCCCCATCTATTATGTAATGTTGATGTAATGATATCCACCTTGCAAAAGTGTTTCAATATGCGGTTCTATCCTTGGTGGACCTTCGAGTCTCTTTAGGATAGTATCGCATATTGCGCGTGACAGTAGTCTTCGGTAGGACTAGATTATCCCTCTTAATCTGGCATTCTGCAGTTTAGTCCACATTTATTGCCTCTTTTATTGATATGGATGCATATGTAGTGTTGATCTGATGTAAGTCTTACTAGTACTTTGGATGAGTTCTCGCGATTGCTTTGCTACCTCTTTTCCCCCTATACCTGATTGTTGCGGTCAGATGGCAGATCCCAGGAGCCAGATGTCATCGCCGACGACAACTACTACACCGATGGAGCCTACTACTATGCGGAGGTCGCCGACGACCAGGAGTAGTTAGGAGGCTCCCAGGCGGGAGGGCTTGCCTTTTCGGTCGTTGTTGCTTTTGTGCTAGCCTTCTTAAGGCTGACTTGTTTAACTTATGTATGCACTCAGATATTGTTGCTTCCGCTGAGTCATTTGTATTCGAGCACTCGAGGCCCCTGGCTTGTAATATAAAGCTTGTATGACTTTAATTTATGTCTAGAGTTGTGTTGTGATATTTTCCCATGAGTCCTTGATCTTGATTGTACACATTTGCGTGTATAATTAGTGTACGATTGAATCTGGGGCCTCACAGCGGCGGACCTAGAGGTGGGAGTCGTGGTGCTCTTGGGTGGAGCTCGCAGCTCGGGTGTGAGCTGGTTGTCATGCATGGTCGCGTAGGCGCGCGGTGTGATGGCTAGAGTGCGATGGTCGGAGGTGTTGGTGCGGCAGGCCTGGCTTGCCCTACTACATCTCAGAGACATTGATGACTTGCCGGGGTTAAAACCCGTTTTGGCTCTGCCAAGCCGACGGCGGCGTCATGTATGGGTGTCGTCTGCTTCCCGAAGTCGTCGTTGTGGTTCCTCTGCATTCTTCTGCTACTCTGGGGGAAACCCTGATCTCTTGATCGGGCGGTGGTGATACTCTGGTGTCGTGCCCTTCCTGAAGGCGCCACACTGGAGTACTCAGTTCGTCGCGGTTGAGGTCTCCGGAGACTCCAAGTGGTGCCCTCTTTTCCTACATGTAGTTTGCTTGGAGTGGATGGGGCTGTTTAGCTGCTCTTATGCACCCTTGTATCTTGCCTTGAGTGTGCGTGTGGTGTGGGATTACGTTGTTTGGGTTGGTTTGTACGGTGATCGGTGCTTTATATGTAAAGCGGGGCGGAGCCTTTTTCGGTAATAAAGCCATGTTTGACCTTTTTTTTTGTTTCTGTTTTGAAAGATTTGATTCTTCAAACATTTTAAAAACTGATTCTGGACATTTTTCATTTTCAAATGGTTTTTCTCAAAATCTAGTTATGAAGTTTCTATCATGTTGAACTTCATATGTTAGGTCTTGTAGTACTATTAGAGATCAAATAATAAACCTAATATATGTTAGATATTTGCAATGTTTTGTTCTTCAAGGTCTTAGTTATAAGAACATGCTAGGTTTTTAGTTTCTCCTTAAAAATTCTTTTTCACAAGGAAAAGAAATGGTTTTAACAAGTTTCTTGTGTTCTTGTTCACAATTAAATAGAAACGGTTTTAGCTGTCAGCATGGACGGTGGGCTCGACAAAGACTTCATTTTTAGCACATATTAATCCATCCATCTAGGCATATAGGTTAAACCCATACGTACTCCATAATGAATAAGTATGACTTGACGCAGTGCAAGAAACAACTACAACTATTAAGCAAACAGATCAGGATGAGGCTTTACATCCACCACTACACAAACGTCTTGAGTCCCTTTCAACCCATGGAAAGGCAAAGGGTCACCACAGTGAGTTGCAGCAAATAGACCGTACCCATCTCTGTACCGTTGATCTGGACCTTCCGCCGACCTTGTTGTGAGACATCTTACCAGAACTCGAACCAGCATTTGATGTTCAAAGTTTCATCTTGAATATTATATGAGTTAATGTCTAATAAGACGACAACTTTTATCGGAGTTAATACTCTGCTGCTGGTGTGTTTTGCGGATCTAATCTGACTCGCGTACATGTTCATGAGAAGCACTATCTCATTATTGAGTATGGTTGTTGGCCTTACTAATAGTGGGTCCATGAATGACCAAAATATATCCAGGTGAAAGCTTAAACATAAGCTATCTGAGCCCTTATCTGAAGGCATTGGGTTCTAATTACAGTAACGGAGTGAATTTTGCTATTAGCGGTTCAACAACACTACCACGGGACGCCCTTTTTGTATTGCATGGACAGGTGCAGGAATTCTTCTTCTTTAAAGCCAGATCTTCCCTCTATAAAAAAAAGAACGAAACGAAGGAAAACATTTCCAATTTGAAGATTGACTCCGCGATGATGATAGTGACCACCCTAATGAGCGCCAATGACGCCGCCATCCACCCACATTTCCAATTTCAGTTTCTATTCCAGTCGCCACAGCCGAGTGCCCGTCTAATGGTTTATCCTCCAGTTGACAGGGGTCTCTGCCTTCGCTTCCTCGCTAGCTTTTTTGGCTATCAGTAGCTGAGCCTCGAGATGATTCACCTTCTCCAGCAGGACACCATTTTCATTTACTTTTTCCATCAGCACATCTACTAGTTTGTGAATCAATTGAACGACCTTGTTGGCTTCCTCACCAGTTTTTCTAACTTCCAGTGCCAGAGCCTCGAGATGATTCAGCTTGGCCAGAAGCCCATCGTTTTCATTTTCTTCTTTCATCACCAGAGTCAAGTCTGGTGCTTCTTTCTCTTCAGGATCAATTGTCACATCAATGAGCCTGGTAGTCGCATCATCTTCCAAGAGTCTGACGCTGTCATGACGTGTAACAACTTCAGATTCTTTATCTTTAAGCAAAGTGCTTGTTGCATCTAATTCTCCCATCACTGAACCCAAAACAGAATTACCTGCCTCAAGCTTTCCAGTTTGCTCAGAAGCTGCTTTCGACTTGCTCTCGTTAGGCACTTCGACGGAAGGATGCTTTTCTAACTTAGCCTTCATCTTTGCAGCCTTCCTAACCAAGGAATCCAATTTGTACAAATGTCTACTCCTCTGTGAACAGAGACTTAAAACCTCATTGTAGAGAGAAAGGACATCAATCTTTAAAAAGCTTCCTTTATATCGAGGTGAATGATCCACTATCTTTGAGTACACGTCGTGTAAGAAAATCTGAAACAAAAACACTTCAGTCCATTGCTAAAATGATAACTCCGAGCATATGCATACTCAAAACACATTAACGATATTATGATTCACCTCATCGGGGTGGTGGACTTCATATGAAGCTCGAGGGTGACAGATCATCTTCAGAGCTGTTGCAAATTGGATTAAAATCAAATACTTAGCGTCAATGCCGGATCTAGACAGAAAACTGTTAAGAAGAAGGCGGAAAAACTTCAAATAGTTCCTTTCACATAATTAGACTTCATGCAAGCGAAGAGCCGGTGCATAATAAGATTCCTCAACCTGGATAAAATGGAGCACTTGCTTCATCAATGAAAGAAACATGGAGGCAAACAATTCAAGGAGATGTTACATCGATGAATACAACAAATTGAGGTTTTCAAATGTCAATGAATAGTACGGCACAATCATTGGCAATAAAGCATTATAAGCACACAATTCAAGCATTATATCAGTTGGAAAGGACTAGCATTGCAAAACAAGGGGCAATCTATTCAAGCTTGCTATAGATGCTGAAAAGAAAAGAAAGGAAAGTAGTACCAACATTGACAAGGGACAAGTAAAACAAGTAATGTTGCATTAGAGAAATAAGGAAGGACAGGCCGTAAAGCTCACCTTCCCACCCGGGATATCAAAGTCATGTTGATGTAAGAACGATATTATATTTTTCATAGGGTCTGCTTTTTCTTCATGAGGCAATAAAGTGCCCATGGGCTTCTTCAGACTGCAAATTATCACCTCACAATCCGGAATATCAACATACAGACATGTTATTTTTTCCTGAAAAAGCAAACGGTGATCAATACTGTTCAACAGACAGAAGCAACAAGAGAGCATACAAGGTTACACTAACCACTTTCATTTCAATTATCCTTTTATGCGCAGCACTTCCCACAACTAATTTCTTCTCAGAACCACACAGCTTCATGAGCCTCTTAGCCAGGCGATCGTCAATAGCCTCATTATCAAGGTCAATGGGGGTGGGCACCCTCTCATATGCCATGAATTCTACCAGACTCTGAAATAAGCACAGAAGGGATTTAAAAAGCTTGTCAAATATAATTCAGGTGTCTAAACCATGAATTAGTCATAAAGTATAGTGTTACTTAATTCTTTGTTTTATTCATCACTAGCTAGAAAGATGTGACTAGTTTGTAGAAATTTGTGCATAGCAATATCCACTTAGGTTTCAACCAGTGCTAATTGATTTTTTAAGGATCTATCAGCAGATGTCTGGACATTGAAGACAGTGCACCATGGCACCAAAATGGAACATGGGAAAGAGGAAAGACTCCCAACCCACCAGCTTGATTCGATTTTGAATCAGTTGAATAACAAAAATAACACAGACCGAGTAATGGTTTAACGTTTTTATTGCACCCACTCATTGCAACAAAAATTGAAATTAAGACTGGTGAAACATTGCAGTGAATTTTGCAAAGCGCTACTCTGTTCGAGTTGGCAAAAAGAAGCGCAAGGACGTATGAAGAAAATACTAGTAAGAAAGAAAATGGGAGCGTTACTGACAAGCGGTGGCAAGCATGTCCAGAAGTCCTGTACAAAAAAAAAGAGAAATCAATCGCACGGTCTTGAATTCTTCATAGATCACAGAGATAAAGAAAACCAAGGAGCATCAGCAACGAATGAAAAAGTACCTTGGCTAGACCGTTGAGGTAGCTCTCATCAAAAGAGAAAATTGCAATGCCAGAGGGTGCTTCGTGTAGCAGCATAGCCGATGCATCATCCGGGAAACTAAGCAAATTACGGACGTGATCCTTCAGATGGCAAACTATCATCTCACAGTCCGGAACATCAACATACAGACAGATTATTCCCTGAACGAAAATGGTGGTCAAATACTGTTCACTCGGAAAGAAGGAACAAGGAAGCTGACGAAGCTACACTAACCAGTGTCGCTTCAATTATTAGCGTCAAATACTTAGCGTCAATGCCGGATCTAGACAGAAAACTGTTAAGAAGAAGGCGGAAAAACTTCAAATAGTTCCTTTCACATAATTAGACTTCATGCAAGCGAAGAGCCGGTGCATAATAAGATTCCTCAACCTGGATAAAATGGAGCACTTGCTTCATCAATGAAAGAAACATGGAGGCAAACAATTCAAGGAGATGTTACATCGATGAATACAACAAATTGAGGTTTTCAAATGTCAATGAATAGTACGGCACAATCATTGGCAATAAAGCATTATAAGCACACAATTCAAGCATTATATCAGTTGGAAAGGACTAGCATTGCAAAACAAGGGGCAATCTATTCAAGCTTGCTATAGATGCTGAAAAGAAAAGAAAGGAAAGTAGTACCAACATTGACAAGGGACAAGTAAAACAAGTAATGTTGCATTAGAGAAATAAGGAAGGACAGGCCGTAAAGCTCACCTTCCCACCCGGGATATCAAAGTCATGTTGATGTAAGAACGATATTATATTTTTCATAGGGTCTGCTTTTTCTTCATGAGGCAATAAAGTGCCCATGGGCTTCTTCAGACTGCAAATTATCACCTCACAATCCGGAATATCAACATACAGACATGTTATTTTTTCCTGAAAAAGCAAACGGTGATCAATACTGTTCAACAGACAGAAGCAACAAGAGAGCATACAAGGTTACACTAACCACTTTCATTTCAATTATCCTTTTATGCGCAGCACTTCCCACAACTAATTTCTTCTCAGAACCACACAGCTTCATGAGCCTCTTAGCCAGGCGATCGTCAATAGCCTCATTATCAAGGTCAATGGGGGTGGGCACCCTCTCATATGCCATGAATTCTACCAGACTCTGAAATAAGCACAGAAGGGATTTAAAAAGCTTGTCAAATATAATTCAGGTGTCTAAACCATGAATTAGTCATAAAGTATAGTGTTACTTAATTCTTTGTTTTATTCATCACTAGCTAGAAAGATGTGACTAGTTTGTAGAAATTTGTGCATAGCAATATCCACTTAGGTTTCAACCAGTGCTAATTGATTTTTTAAGGATCTATCAGCAGATGTCTGGACATTGAAGACAGTGCACCATGGCACCAAAATGGAACATGGGAAAGAGGAAAGACTCCCGACCCACCAGCTTGATTCGATTTTGAATCAGTTGAATAACAAAAATAACACAGACCGAGTAATGGTTTAACGTTTTTATTGCACCCACTCATTGCAACAAAAATTGAAATTAAGACTGGTGAAACATTGCAGTGAATTTTGCAAAGCGCTACTCTGTTCGAGTTGGCAAAAAGAAGCGCAAGGACGTATGAAGAAAATACTAGTAAGAAAGAAAATGGGAGCGTTACTGACAAGCGGTGGCAAGCATGTCCAGAAGTCCTGTACAAAAAAAAAGAGAAATCAATCGCACGGTCTTGAATTCTTCATAGATCACAGAGATAAAGAAAACCAAGGAGCATCAGCAACGAATGAAAAAGTACCTTGGCTAGACCGTTGAGGTAGCTCTCATCAAAAGAGAAAATTGCAATGCCAGAGGGTGCTTCGTGTAGCAGCATAGCCGATGCATCATCCGGGAAACTAAGCAAATTACGGACGTGATCCTTCAGATGGCAAACTATCATCTCACAGTCCGGAACATCAACATACAGACAGATTATTCCCTGAACGAAAATGGTGGTCAAATACTGTTCACTCGGAAAGAAGCAACAAGGAAGCTGACGAAGCTACACTAACCAGTGTCGCTTCAATTATTCTTTTATGTTCAGCACTTCCCACGAATAATGTCTTTTCAGAACCACACAGACACAGCTCAATGAGACTGTCAGCCAGCAGACTGTCAACAAACTTATTAGCAGAGTCAATGGGGCTGGGCACCATCTTAGACTTTATGAATACTTCGAGACTCTGAGGAATAAGCATATAAGGGATTTAAAAGGCTTGTCAAATTACAAAATATAACACAAGTGTCTAAATCATGAAAGCCCCCCTAAAAAAATCATGAAATGGGGCAGAATAATTTAGTAGCCTGGCAGCCAATCACCAGCACTTTTGAGGATCTATTAGCAGATGTCTGACCATTGATTCGATTTTGAATCAGTTCAATAACAAATAACAACTACGAGTAATGAGTTGTTGTTCATATATATTCCACCCACCCATTGCAACAAATTTTTGACAACAAAGGCAGGTGAAGATTGGAGTGGATTTTGTAAAGCATTATAACTCTGTTTGAATCGGCGACACGGGAAGCGTAAGGAAATAGAAAAGGATAATAGAAAGGAAAATGGGAGCTTTACTCACAAGGGATGGCAAGGATTTCCAGAAGGCCTGTAGAAGAAACAGAGAGAAAGCGATTAGATGATCTTGAGTCCTTGACAGATCATAAG